ATGTCTGGATCTCATGCACAGCCATGATCTATGAAAATAGGACAGCCACATTCTCTTCTGATGAGCAGAGGGCCTTAAATAGAGTAGCTTTAGGGCTACAGCAAGAAAACGAGATGGGCCAAGAGGCTGGACCATCCAGAGACGTGTGTTATGGAATAGCTGACAGAATTGAGTCTCTTACCACCAAAATTCCCACCCCTCAGATTGTTCATTATTTCTTTCTCTTTCTTGGCAGCCTTTGGAAGTCAAGTCAATAAATTATTCCAACAGTTAGGAAATGCTGAGGCTGAGAAAATGCTCCATAGCCCAGGGATAGCCCAACACACGGAACCTGAGTCTGTACAGACCCTGACCTATAATAGGCCTCCTTCTCACCTGCTGTGCTCCTGCTCAGCAATCAACAAGTCAGCCAGTCGCAGCCTGCTGCAGTGAGGGTGAGTGGGGAGATTCAGTTCTTTCACTGTGACCCTGCTCCCATTCCACACCAGGCTACAGGGGCAGGAGAGAGCATGAACAGAAGGAATGAGCAGCCACAGCATCAGTGAGTCTTCCCAGCCAGGAGTGGAGTTCACATAGACTTTGTGACATCCCTATTCCCACCACCTCCAGGTCCTAAAGCATCCTGGGGAACTAGGTGAGGTGGTTAAAAAAAAAAGAAACCACAAAACGATTCAAGAAAGAGTGTTGATCAGGTTGGGTATTTTGTTTTATTATCTTTGGGTCAAAGAAGAGGGGACTTCACAACAAATCCATGACCGAGGCAGGAAAACAAGAGGTCAGAGGGCCTTACAAATCTGGCAGAGACCTTTTTTAAGAATTTTTCTTCTAAGCAAGTAAGAAGCAACCAGGCTCAAGGAGCTCAGAGACCTTGGCCATGGGATCCCCTGGAACTCTGCAGGGGCTATACCTCTGAGGACTGAAAATACCCCAGGGACTTTTGTCATAACCTGTTGCTGCCATACTCCTCACCTAGATTTGATTGATGACAGTGTCAGCTGATACCTGTTCTAGCTTCTCCAGAAGCCTAATATCCTCTGGCTTGCAAAAGAGGCAAGACAATTACCACTAAGCTGCCTCTAATTTTTTAGAAAGCAGACAAGTTAAGGCCAGGCACGTTGGTGCATGACTGTAATCTCAGCAACTTGGAAGCCTAAAGCAGGAGAATCACAAGTTCAAGATCAGCTTCCGCAACTTAGCTAGACCCTGTCTCAGAGTAAAAAAATAAAATGGGGAGCTGGGGTTGAAGCTCAGTGGGAGAGCACTTGCTTAGCACATGTAAGACACTGGGTTTGATCCTCAGTACCACATATAAATAAATAAAGGTATTGTGTCCATCTACAACTAAAAAACTAAAAAATAAGTAAATAGGGCTGGGGCTATAGCTCATTAGAAGAGCACCCCCTGAATTCAATCTCCAGTGCCAAAAAAGCAAGCAAGCAGAGAGGCTGAAATACTGTAATGAATAATCTTTCAGAACTCAGTTTTCTCTCAAAATGACATCTGGCGATAAATGCAAATAGCTTATTTGTTACAAATAAAATGTAGAAGAGTTTGTCACTGGCACCTAGTAGGTAGAAAACAGCAACACTTCTCAATATCCTATGATGCACAAGACTGCCTGTGTAACAACAAAGGATCATCTGGCCACAAAAGTCCACAGTGAGAAACCCTGATTCAGACATGCCTTCTTCCTTTCTATATTTGTATTTTGCAGTACTGGGGACTGAATCCAGGGCCTTGCACACACCACGTAGGTGCTCTACCATCAGGCAACATCCCTAAACCTCCATACACAAGGAAGTCACATGCAGCCCACTCTTCCCACTAGCCAGCTTCCACTTACTTAGTCATGACCATGTAGGGGCCACTGAAGAAAGAGAAAGTGGGTTCATCATCAGCTTGAATCACTTCCTTTTCTCCGATTACTGGAAGAGATCCTAGATAGGCAAGTTGCGTCCCCCCTGTGAGGTAAAACTGAAACCAAAGCACAGCTTTAAATCGTGGGGAAAAAAGAGGAAAAGCAAAATACTTCCAGAATCTTGTCACACAACTAAAAATGATGCTAGCTGCCACTTACTAAACTGCTGAATATCCAAATGCACTATAACTTATTCCTTAATTTACATTATTCTCCCTAGAAACCCTGCAAGGTTGTAACACTCTTTCACTAATAAAGAAACTGATGCTCACAGAAAGAAATGAGATGCCCACTTGAAGTGCTTTGGATGGGAATGAGGGGCCTATTGTGACCCCCTCAGAACCCAGGCCTATGTGTAGCCAAAGCTCACATTCCTCCGACCTCTACCACCCCCCAAGTCGCCTCAGCACAAGGAACAGAATTTTGAGCTGTTGTAAAACAACACTCACTCACTCAGCAATGTTTCCTAACTATTTCTGTTAAAGGTAGACTCAAGGACTCAAAAGATACTATCTGTCCTCAAAATATTCCTCAATTAAAAAATCTCAATTCCTTAAAATCATTCCAGTATGCCTGTAATCCCCATAATCAGAAGCCTGAGGCAGGAGAATGGCAAATTTGAGGCTAGCTTGGGCAACTTGGTGAGTCCATATATTTGCATAAAAATGGGCTGGGAATATAGCTCAGTGGTAGAGTGTGGGAGGCCAACCTTACCGGTGACTGAGTTACACTCCCCGGCTGGGTGCTGAGGTGCTCAGTCACAGAAATGGGTGTGTCTTGCTATAGCCCCATGGGTGAAGCTACGCTTACCTGTTCCTTTGTAATATAACCCCTTGCCCTGTTTAGGATAGAATTTTCCATGGAAGTGCCTTGTGTGTGTCCCCTTCTCTTACTGTGCCCTTGGGTGTGGCCTACCCAGGTGTCAGTCAACCTGCTGACAGTGGACATCATGAAGATAGATTCAGCCCCCTGAAACCTGACCTCTTGCCTCATTTAAATAACTTCTCCTCAATAAAAGGGGTCAGTGCGTGCTGTTGCTTTCTTTCTGCGGACTCTTAAGGTCAGAGGAGCCCTCACAGTGACCCCAAAGAAAAAGGTATTTGTGTCTCTTGTGTGGTTACTTCGTGCAGCCCAGTTAGCCCAGTTTAACTAGAGCCTTTTAGTTGCGAGAACAAAAACCCGGCAGTAGAGGGTCCCTGAATTCAACGCCCAGTACCAAACAAACATCCCACAGGCTGTGTGTGGAAAGGCAAGGTCATTGAGAGGCAAATCCACAGAGATAGGACAGTGTGGCTCTCTGGGTCCTTTACTCAAAATTAAAAGATCATCTTTTAAACTCCTCAAATCTAGCCCAGGGTTATTCAAGGGAACTCCCAACTTTTTTTTTTTTAACCATTGTCAGTAAGAACAAAAATATTATGAAATACCTTTCCTTCAAAGGGAAAGAAAGGAGCAAAAAGCATTGGTGAAGATAAGGAAGGAGGAAGGGAACAAAGTTCAGAGAGGGGGCCACAGACTCTCAACCATTGGCAACCTCTTACCTTCCCAAATCCAAAGCTGTAGATATTTTGGGCAGAAATGACTCCAGCTTTAAGCAGCCGGTTAGGAGAGCCATTAGGGTTCCTAGAAATGTTTAAAGATAGAAAAAAAATAAGAATTAACAACACATATCCAGAGAAAAATTACTAAACCAAGTTTTCAGAATGTGTAGTGCATTTTGCTTTGCCAGATGACTTTAAAAAAAAAGAATGTAATCTCTTTCATTAGAAGATATACATTAAAGACCTTGGGCAATATACCAGCAACTCAGGAGGCTGAGGCAGGAGGACTTTAATTTGAGGCCAGCCTCAACAACTTAGTGAGATCTCATCTCCAAATAAAAAGAAATGGGGCCAGGGATGTAGCTCCCTTCAGGTGGTGGGGAAGAGGATCAGTCCCTTATTCTAGATCTGCATCAACATTAGCTACCAATAGCCACAATGAAAAATATGGCACATTTCACAAATCTGCATATAATCCTTATACAAGGGCCATGCTAATATTCTCTTCATACCAATTTTAGTCCATGGGATAGCTAAGTGAGCATGACTGCTTGATCTTTCTGTGTGTGTGTGTGTGTCTACAGATTGTATAGTAGCCAGTCTCTGAGAAGGAATGATTCTCTTGGGGCTGGGGATGTGGCTCAAGCGGTAGC